TTGATGTTCGTATTAAAGCGCATTCCACATACCTCCTCGCGTTTCTGTGATCCTGATAGCAAATCATCATCCATACTACTTTGAAACGCGAGCCTTGTACGGGTATGTTCTCTCTACGAAATTTGTATTAGGAGAGTAGAAACAACGAGAGGTATTTGTTTGACATTTGAATTTCCCGCCAAATTGATATTCGTATCAAAGCGCATTCCACATACCTCCTCGCGTTTCTGTGATCCTGATAGCAAATCATCATCCATACTACTTTGAAACGCGAGCCTTGTACGGGTATGTTCTCTCTACGAAATTTGTATTAGGGGAGTAGAAACAACGAGAGGTATTTGTTTGACGTTTGAATTTCCCGCCAAATTGATATTCGTAGCGAAGCGCATTCCACATACCTCCTCGCGTTTCTGTGATCCTGATAGCAAACCGTCATCCATACAATATTGAATGGAGAACCTTGTAGGTTCTTCGATGTTAATCCTCTACGAAGTTACTATCAGGAGAGTAGAGGCATCGAGAGATATCTAAAGTTTACATTTCCCGCCAAATTATTATTAGAAACACAGCACATTTCACATACCTCCTCGCGTTTCTGTGATCCTGATAGAAAATCGGCATCCATACAATATTAAATGGAGAGCTTGGTGTAGTCCCTAACGAAATTTGTATCAGGAGAGTAGAAACAACGAGAGGTATTTGTTTGACATTTGAATTTCCCGCCAAATTGATATTCGTATCAAAGCGCATTCCACATACCTCCTCGCGTTTCTGTGATCCTGATAGCAAATCATCATCCATACTACTTTGAAACGCGAGCCCTGTACGGGTATGTTCTCTCTACGAAATTTGTATTAGGAGAGTAGAAACAACGAGAGGTATTTGTTTCCCGCCAAATTGATGTTCGTATCAAAGCGCATTCCACATACCTCCTCGCGTTTCTGTGATCCTGATAGCAAATCATCATCCATACTACTTTGAAACGCGAGCCTTGTACGGGTATGTTCTCTCTACGAAATTTGTATTAGGGGAGTAGAAACAACGAGAGGTATTTGTTTGACGTTTGAATTTCCCGCCAAATTGATATTCGTAGCAAAGCGCATTCCACATACCTCCTCGCGTTACTGTGATCCTGATAGCAAATCATCATCCATACTACTTTGAAACGCGAGCCTTGTATGGGTATGTTCTCTCTACGAAATTTGTATTAGGAGAGTAGAAACAACGAGAGGTATTTGTTTCCCGCCAAATTGATGTTCGTATCAAAGCGCATTCCACATACCTCCTCGCGTTTCTGTGATCCTGATAGCAAATCATCATCCATACTACTTTGAAACGCGAGCCTTGTACGGGTATGTTCTCTCTACGAAATTTGTATTAGGAGAGTAGAAACAACGAGAGGTATTTGTTTGACGTTTGAATTTCCCGCCAAATTGATATTCGTAGCGAAGCGCATTCCACATACCTCCTCGCGTTTCTGTGATCCTGATAGCAAACCGTCATCCATACAATATTGAATGGAGAACCTTGTAGGTTCTTCGATGTTAATCCTCTACGAAGTTACTATCAGGAGAGTAGAGGCATCGAGAGATATCTAAAGTTTACATTTCCCGCCAAATTATTATTAGAAACACAGCACATTTCACATACCTCCTCGCGTTTCTGTGATCCTGATAGAAAATCGGCATCCATACAATATTAAATGGAGAGCTTGGTGTAGTCCCTAACGAAATTTGTATCAGGAGAGTAGAAACAACGAGAGGTATTTGTTTGACATTTGAATTTCCCGCCAAATTGATATTCGTATCAAAGCGCATTCCACATACCTCCTCGCGTTTCTGTGATCCTGATAGCAAATCATCATCCATACTACTTTGAAACGCGAGCCCTGTACGGGTATGTTCTCTCTACGAAATTTGTATTAGGAGAGTAGAAACAACGAGAGGTATTTGTTTCCCGCCAAATTGATGTTCGTATCAAAGCGCATTCCACATACCTCCTCGCGTTTCTGTGATCCTGATAGCAAATCATCATCCATACTACTTTGAAACGCGAGCCTTGTACGGGTATGTTCTCTCTACGAAATTTGTATTAGGGGAGTAGAAACAACGAGAGGTATTTGTTTGACGTTTGAATTTCCTGCCAAATTGATATTCGTAGCAAAGCGCATTCCACATACCTCCTCGCGTTACTGTGATCCTGATAGCAAATCATCATCCATACTACTTTGAAACGCGAGCCTTGTATGGGTATGTTCTCTCTACGAAATTTGTATTAGGAGAGTAGAAACAACGAGAGGTATTTGTTTCCCGCCAAATTGATGTTCGTATCAAAGCGCATTCCACATACCTCCTCGCGTTTCTGTGATCCTGATAGCAAATCATCATCCATACTACTTTGAAACGCGAGCCTTGTACGGGTATGTTCTCTCTACGAAATTTGTATTAGGAGAGTAGAAACAACGAGAGGTATTTGTTTGACATTTGAATTTCCCGCCAAATTGATATTCGTATCAAAGCGCATTCCACATACCTCCTCGCGTTTCTGTGATCCTGATAGCAAATCATCATCCATACTACTTTGAAACGCGAGCCTTGTACGGGTATGTTCTCTCTACGAAATTTGTATTAGGGGAGTAGAAACAACGAGAGGTATTTGTTTGACGTTTGAATTTCCCGCCAAATTGATATTCGTAGCGAAGCGCATTCCACATACCTCCTCGCGTTTCTGTGATCCTGATAGCAAATCATCATCCATACTACTTTGAAACGCGAGCCTTGTACGGGTATGTTCTCTCTACGAAATTTGTATTAGGAGAGTAGAAACAACGAGAGGTATTTGTTTCCCGCCAAATTGACATTCGTATCAAAGCGCATTCCACATACCTCCTCGCGTTTCTGTGATCCTGATAGCAAATCATCATCCATACTACTTTGAAACGCGAGCCTTGTACGGGTATGTTCTCTCTACGAAATTTGTATTAGGAGAGTAGAAACAACGAGAGGTATTTGTTTCCCGCCAAATTGATGTTCGTATCAAAGCGCATTCCACATACCTCCTCGCGTTTCTGTGATCCTGATAGCAAATCATCATCCATACTACTTTGAAACGTGAGCCTTGTACGGGTATGTTCTCTCTACGAAATTTGTATTAGGGGAGTAGAAACAACGAGAGGTATTTGTTTCCCGCCAAATTGATGTTCGTATCAAAGCGCATTCCACATACCTCCTCGCGTTTCTGTGATCCTGATAGCAAATCATCATCCATACTACTTTGAAACGCGAGCCTTGTACGGGTATGTTCTCTCTACGAAATTTGTATTAGGAGAGTAGAAACAACGAGAGGTATTTGTTTCCCGCCAAATTGATGTTCGTATCAAAGCGCATTCCACATACCTCCTCGCGTTTCTGTGATCCTGATAGCAAATCATCATCCATACTACTTTGAAACGCGAGCCTTGTACGGGTATGTTCTCTCTACGAAATTTGTATTAGGGGAGTAGAAACAACGAGAGGTATTTGTTTCCCGCCAAATTGATGTTCGTATCAAAGCGCATTCCACATACCTCCTCGCGTTTCTGTGATCCTGATAGCAAATCATCATCCATACTACTTTGAAACGCGAGCCTTGTACGGGTATGTTCTCTCTACGAAATTTGTATTAGGAGAGTAGAAACAACGAGAGGTATTTGTTTCCCGCCAAATTGATGTTCGTATCAAAGCGCATTCCACATACCTCCTCGCGTTTCTGTGATCCTGATAGCAAATCATCATCCATACTACTTTGAAACGCGAGCCTTGTACGGGTATGTTCTCTCTACGAAATTTGTATTAGGAGAGTAGAAACAACGAGAGGTATTTGTTTCCCGCCAAATTGATGTTCGTATCAAAGCGCATTCCACATACCTCCTCGCGTTTCTGTGATCCTGATAGCAAATCATCATCCATACTACTTTGAAACGTGAGCCTTGTACGGGTATGTTCTCTCTACGAAATTTGTATTAGGGGAGTAGAAACAACGAGAGGTATTTGTTTGACGTTTGAATTTCCCGCCAAATTGATATTCGTAGCAAAGCGCATTCCACATACCTCCTCGCGTTTCTGTGATCCTGATAGCAAATCATCATCCATACTACTTTGAAACGCGAGCCTTGTACGGGTATGTTCTCTCTACGAAATTTGTATTAGGAGAGTAGAAACAGCGAGAGGTATTTGTTTAACGTTTGAATTTCCCGCCAAATTGATATTCGTAGCAAAGCGCACTCCACATACCCCCTCGCGTTTCTGTGATCCTGATAGCAAACCGTCATCCATACAATATTGAATGGCAAGCCTTGTCGGTTCTTCGATGTTTATCCTCCACGAAGTTACTATCAGGAGAGTAGAGGCACCGAGAGATATCTAAAGTTTACATTTCCCGCCAAATTATTATTAGAAACAAAGCACATTCCACATACCTCGTCGCGTTTCTGTGATCCTGATAGAAAATCGGCATCCATACAATATTAAAAGGAGAGCTTGGTGTAGACCCTAACGAAATTTGTATCAGGAGAGTAGAAACAACGAGAGGTATTTGTTTGACGTTTGAATTTCCCGCCAAATTGATATTCGTAGCAAAGCGCATTCCACATACCTCCTCGCGTTTCTGTGATCCTGATAGCAAAACTTCACCGAATGACCTTAAAATGGCCTGTTATTTGATGTTCACACCTGCTACAGAATTTGTATCGGGAGAGCAGATGAGAGATATATGCTAGACATTTGAATTTCCCGCCGAATACTGAGAGGAAGGATGTCCCATCACCTCTTGTTTGCGATCGTGATAGCAAATCTCCCTCCACAAGATTCTTCAATGACAGCCTGCCCAGCGAGATTCGATCACTTGGGATTTTGTATCAGGAAGGCAGACATGACTATATGTATATACAGGGCATTCAAACGTACCTAAATACATCTTAGCATCGCTGCCATCCTGATATGAATAAAACAGACAGAAAAAAATTGGCTAAATGGATTTATATTACAAAAATACATCCAAACAGATATGACAAATATTGACAAACCTTTAATATAATAAGATTCTGTAAATAGTATACATCTCTTGTACAAAGGAGATTGTCCAATTTTCTTGGACAACCTGGAATATATCTATGAATTACACACTTAATAAAATATAAACAAAATAAATTACATAAGGCACTCAACACTTAATTCTAATTCAGACACGATCTAAGTTTCCCTTCCCAAGCGTCCTGCTCATTCTTCTTGACTAGCCTTTTTTGCTCTGAAAAAAATTAATATGAATTATCAAGCTGTTCCACATTAACTATCACAAATAGTGCATCAGTAAAATTCAAATTAAATGGAATAAATTTAAGAAGGTTAATCTTCATAGGAACTTGTCATGTTTCCATCTCTACATGTGAAACTCAGTTCGAACTAAATTGCATATACTGCAATACTGCATGTAAATGCTGGGAATTTCGACTAAAAATGGTCGATATGTTTTTTCGAATGTGGGCGTATCGGACTGTAAAGGTTCCCCCACACCGACGCGATACATCGATAGCGGTAGCGTCAGCGTTAAAAAAACGCATTTAACGCGATAGATGCACGTTCACACCACCGCGGTACGGCAGTTTTCTTATCTGCGCGATATTCTCGTTTTTTGATTTCTTCGTCAACATTTCTTCTGATGAAGAAGAACTATTATCATTATTGGCTTTAGCAGAAGATAAAAGGCGAAAAAGAAGTATTTTGATGATAATCATTAGTTAATTATAATTAATAATTGTTTTTAAGAAAAAAAAAAAGAAATGGATACATGATATCAATAAACTAAGAAAGATATATGGAGAATATCATACTTTAATGATCGAATTACCTAGAGATCCACAACGTTTTTACGTATACTTTCGAATGACTTCCGATTGCTTTGTATGAAATATCAAGTTTAATGAGATCCCACATTCTATCCTTTTTCCTGTAAATTTTATAGTCACCGCGCTGGTGTGATCGGTATTATTTACCGCTCTGAAAACTAAGCACCGCATGGACAGCGTTGCGATTATCGCTATCGCCTTACCGCGTCGGTGTGGGGGATCCTTTATGCATGTAAACGGGCGCGTAATACCCGTAATGCCCTACATAACCTAAAAAGGTGATTGTTGTTGTTGATTGTAGTTTATTTTTGCGATACTGGGTCATATTTTGACATCACATCAATAGGACATAAAATCCATAGTGCTGGCATAAAGCATAAAGGAAGACACATATTCTTTTGAAGCCAATACTGTCGTTAAGGAAGGCGTGGCTGTCGGAAATGTAGTGCGCATAGAGCTTCTGCGCGTGTATACACACATACACGTGAAAGAGAATTATAGAGTCACACAGATGATATATTTTTGACACCTTTGCTTCAGCCTCACTCTATAAGTTTACTCTCCCGCTTCCAATCTTCATGCTAGTTGTTGGAAACTTTTCTAAATAAACAACACTTTGTATATTAAAAAGTCATTTACCTCTAGCAGCTCGTAGGTCATTCCTCTCCTGCGCAGACTTTTCCTGACTGATACCACTCTTCCTTCCCAAGTGCGTTGTGATCAGACGCCTTGCTGTCTGCAAGTTGGTCTGAGGCCTTTTCATAGCTGGCCTTAGGTCGTGTCGCTGGGCAGTGTTGAGGGCAGCTTTGCTTGCTGCCGTCATAGGACGCGCTTTGATAATCGGACTCGTCAAGCTCACAGCTTTTTGAGCTGAAAACAAATACGGCAAAGTTTAACAATCTAGATGTAACTAGTGAAATGTTTCACCCAAACCTTTAACCCAATCCTTTGAGTTAAATTGTACAAAGGGTAGTATACAAGTTTTGCAATGTGACTCAACAAACAGACGCAGGCGGCTGCTATAACATGCAGCATGATGAGACCTGTCCACGGGTGCATAGTAGCCGCCAGCAGCACGTCTGTTGATTTAGTTGTTGATTCGTATTGACAGTGTAAAGTGCGGACCAAGACATCGTGGTCACGTAGTGAGATAAAGGCAGTTTTACGGTATAACTTCACGCGTTGTTTAAGCATAGACCAATACTTAGAAGAAATTATGCTTGCATTAAAGACTAATTGTCCTCATCGTACGACTATATTCAGGTGGTACAGATAATTCCAAAGGGATAATTTCACTCTGGAGGACGCTGAGAGGGAAGGATGGCCGCGAACGTCAGTAACAGAGGAAAATGCTTGACGAAGACCGGAGAGTGACATACCAACATAAAGATAAGACCTTACACCTTCATGAACCATCAATTCATTCAAATCTACATGACTGAAACTAATTGAGCACCCTCCTTATAGTCCAGATCAGCTGAAAGGAAAACGGTTTTCTAGCGATGAAGACCTCCTGAGGGCTTGGGACCACGCACTGCCCGGTGAAACTTGCCAGAGTTGGTTTAAGGACTGGTTTTCGTATATTGAATGTGGTGGAAATTATTTTGAACCAAATCAATAAATAAAGCTGTAATGCAAAACATTCATAGTACCCTTTGTAATTATCCTATATGGCCCTACGCGGGAAATTACGCGACATAGTATGACAACCAAAGAGAAGTGTCGGTTTGAAATTCAACTTATTCCCGTTAGCTAGGTTTTACTGTATTAGGAGCAAGGTACGTTTCTCACGCCTCCTGGCGTTGCTGTGATTCTGATAATAAATCTTCATCCATTTGTCTGTGCACGAGGAAGCAAACTTTGGAGGTATAGGTATAATAATACAAACCTTGTGCGAGAGATCCTAGTACCAATATAGCATGAGTGTCATCCACCCACTTGACATACATTGCATCACTCTGGATTTCGCTAAATGCTTGAATCAGATCATTGGTTTCGAATGTAGAAGGAAAATCGTATAATTCGACCATGTGCTCAAACTCCTCTATTTGCTTTGTACTGCAGTATTCTGTATAATCTTCTTTGGCTTTCACAATTGTTACTTCTTGACCTACTTTCTTTACAATCTGGAAAACACACATTATGCAACAAAATAGCGTGTATCATATTATACCATATGGAAATGTTCTATTATTTTATTGTTATCATTAATGTTATTTAAAGTGGGGTAGGTTCTGAACTAGTCAATCCAAAGGAACGATACCAGGAATCATCTTGGACGATTCCGAATTTGATGATTTCTGATTCTTGTAACTTTGCCCGACAGTTATCGCAATACAGATCCTCGCACTAAGGTGTTTTAAAACGTCGTGGGCCGAGACCGTTACATTATGTGGATGTGCAGAAGACAGATGTCAGAACGGCGGGAAGAATATTACCCTAGTCACAAATATAGACTTTTTCCAGGCAGCTGTCTGGAGTACTCTGGAGTGTCTGGCACACTGGCACTCGGCTTTGAACATCCAAGGGAGAACTATCGGTACTCATTGGCGTGCGCGTGTAGATTACGTTGTATGTTGGATTTCCTTCATGGTAGACCAGGGTTGTGAAGATTGTTTTTCCTATTCAGTATGTGAGTGTGAAAGTTTCGGAGATTGTAGATGACTTATTGTATGAAACAGCGTTGGTATTGAAGATGGTATTGTTGTTTTTCACGTATAAAGCTTTGTTAATCAAACGCTCCTAGATCGATTGGAACGCTTCTATTCTGCTTCAGAGAAACTAACTCCAATATGATAATTTTCACTCACACAATCAGAGGATCTATGATAATATTTTTTCTTAAAAGGGATAAGAGCCAGCACAAGGTTGTTCATAGCCAGGGCCGCTAGATTGTATATGTTTTTCAATTCACGAGCCGTGGAAAGGGGGCAGGGGAAGTCATCTTACCTCTAAGTCAGCTGATGAATCGAGTAGCAGACGCCACAGATGTATCACTCAATACAAACGCATTGTGAAAGGTTTGATCAAACCCACAGACAATAAATAAACCAAGTCCGAAATCAACAGTGGACAGGTTTAAGGCAGATAAGGGAAATGATTTATAAATTTGTCCATATTCATAAGCGGCGGCCTACCATTAAATGATGGAGTAAACCTTGCGAGGAAAATCGGATCCTTCAGAAAGAAATTTCATAAATTAGTTTTTTTCTGGAAAAAGTGGAAGATAATTGGAAACAATTGATTGAAAAACAAGACATTCGTTTAAAACGAATTGAGTTTTTGAGGAAATTGAAGAAATACAAGGACATGTTGTATGTTATGATATGTTTTCAGTCCATTCAGCAATATCGATATCTATCAAAAAATTGTCATAAACCTTAACAGATGAGTTACTTTATATGTATTTGAAATTTTTTTATTGGACATGTGACCAAAGAAATATAAAATTTAAAGGTACATGAATGACAGCAAAAATTAGTGTATAGTCTATATAACAAAAATGTATTGAAAAATGATTTCAATGAAAGACTGCATGCTTAACAAATGAAGATTTTTGTTTTCGAAATAATTTCCTCAAAGTTTCTAAAAGTAACAGTTTGCTCTAGAGAGATAAATACCTGTCTGCAAGCATCACTGGTCAAGGGAAAATGATTAATTGTGTTGCATTGTGGGGAAAAAAGGGCTTTATACCGAATGCAGAACTTCTCTTCAAATCAGGTTTAAAAATTGGTGATTACCACCTTCCCATACTGAATAACCCAGTCTTACTTCTTCCATAACTGATTTGTCAGCTACCAGCTACTTACGCTACTGATTCCATACCACGCCACCCACGCGACGACGGCGAAACACAATGAGGAACGATTATAAGCCAGTTATATTAGGTCTAAGCACATCATTCAACACTTAAACAGTACGGAAACGTTTCGTAAAGGAATCAAATTGAATGAATAACATTATCAATGTTCCGTTAAAGAATACGCGTTCTGTAATTAATTTATGTTATATCACCACACCAAATTATTTAATAAATAGGAGTATGACAAAAATTACCGAAATAATTTGACTGACCTAGTATCAGTCTATATGTTTTTAGCAATGCTTGCTTGTATTGCGACGCGTTTGCTTCTGCTCAGATTTGAATCCGCGCATGTCGTCTAACGGTCATGGCTCACGACGTTTTAAAACACCTTTAACAACCTACAAAGTAAGTAATTGTGGTGTGAAGTATGGACAGATTTTGGAAAAGCAATATCCGAATCCTGACAGATGCTTATATTTTTCTTTACCAATTTGTATATGACCGGTAACTGTCACCTCTAGTCATATGTTATGACCTTTTAGCCAATCAACTGGAAATACTTCTACTAACCTGCTTAACCAAGTTTTCGTGTAACTGACCATCATCATCAAAAAGATCCTCCCAATTATTCAAATTTTCATCTTTATTGATACATAAAGTATTGTCTGCATCCTCGACATACTTCATTATAGGCTTAATACGTCTGTTTATGTTCTCCTTAGTTCTTCTCATTATTTCTTTTTCTTCATCATGCTCGGTTCTTTCTTTTATGTCCTTTTCTTTTACAGGGTCGTCTAATCTTGATTGTATAGAACTTTTCATAGAACTTACTTCAGTTGTAGTTTCGGATATCACTAAAACAGGTGCTTCATATTGTAAACTTTTAGACTGTGGAGAACTTTCCTGTATTGAGGTAATTTTTAAGGTTGCATTTGATTTTAAGTATCGGCTACCTTGTGGAGTTACATCCAAATTTGGAGGAGATTCGTAACTTAATCTAGAAGATATTGCACATTCTTCAGGCTTTATAGAGACATCAACACAATCAAAAGTTGTGTCAACCTCAGGAGAGTCTTGTATGATGGAAGAAACCATACATGCTGGTTGAAGATCAATAGTTTCGACATTTTCCGATTTGTGTATACTTTCAGGGCCTAAGAGCTATAAAATAATAAGGAAAACACATTAAACTATGGAAACATATGCAAAAATTATCATCTACAGCTACCTAGAGCAATCACAGAAAAGTTTATTATTAACAAATAATGCATTATATAAATTGCCAACACTACTTTTTATAGTAAATAACTATTCTGATCCTGATGCACAAGCCCAACCACTAATTGCTTAAGGGGAGGCTGTATATAAGCGATTGACGACGCTGATTGGTTACTCGGCGGCTGTTATGAGGAATCCAAAGAAACTCTGGATGTACGAAATTCGTCACGGTTAGGATGAAGAAAATTTCAGGGTTGATTCTAAAGGCGTTGCAATAGTTTTCACAATAGAATGATGAATAATAAAGAACCTCAATTTTTACCGCGCTCCAAATTGTGTGACAAAAAAATTTACTTAATATTACAAAATGATATAACCATTGGTAAGACCAACAATTTAGCTCATGCCAGAAAAAAATCGACCTAATAGTTCAGTTGTATTTGCGCTAGAAAGCCCATAATCCCGGTTTTTGGAAAATTTCACAAAATTGCAATTATGTCCTGAACTATAAAGTACCCGATCACATATCGGTTCAATCGACAGGTATTAAAGCCTCATGAATTCCATTGTTCGAACTATAACTTTACACCCTGTATACAGCCTTCCCTTAGAGGGGTGCTTTTAATTTCTGCGTGGGCGAAAAAACATGACTTCAGAAATGTTCAAATTTTATACAGCAATTTTTAGGTTGTTTTGGATCACTTTATGAAGTCATTTTATTAATTTCGCGAAAGCACAATTTGAAATGCAAATCCTGTAAGTTATTTTTGAATAATTTTTTGTATAAATATTTCTTTTATTATCTATCCGAAACAACTAGACGATCTTTATGAGCTATATTCTTAGATTTATACTTACATGATCCAAAGTTTCTTCATCAAAGTTGGAAGTTACATCATCAATAAAGAAATAGTAATTGACAAACAAACCATAGATATCACTCATTGCTGAGCATCTTTTTTTGAAACAAACAAAATCATAATAGTCATGGTTCCGTTCATTAATTTCCCTGCTGTAGTTCTCAACCATTACTGGTAATGGAAGTGCCGCTGGTACCTCTAGGATAGGCTAGAATAAAGTTCGTGTTAGTTGTAAACTGAGCACCTATTATTTTATGCATAATGTATTGCGTATGTGCTAACAAATTTTTTTCTCAGAAGTGAAACAAAAATATGGCATCTTGAAGTTCCAACATACTGTAAGTGTTTTTGACACCCTTGCTTGAGGAATTTTTATTAAAATATACTTACATCAAAGTCACATATTACTTCAATATTGCTGATCTTACTTTCTCTATGCACATAATATTTTGGCTGCCACAAAAATATATCTCTTCTTAAAATGTCTAGTCGCACAATAGGGCAACAAAAATATAGTGGTATTCTATATAACGATGTGTCATACAGCTTTGTGAATGTTTTGAAAAAAATATATGCCTTCATCACAGAACTATCACGGAAAAATGAGGATTTGTTTTCAGGTACCCTATATTTCCATTTTACTGAAAATGTGTAACACCAAAAAAAATATTCCATAAAATCGTTGAATAAATAATGTAAATTTTGCTGATAGATTGAATCATCATTATTGGATTTCAGCTCAGTATCAGAGATCTTTGTTTTTGAAATACCAGGTTCTGTGGATTTTCTCCTCTTGCTGTTTTTCTTCTCAATTGTATGTTTATTTTGTTTTTGTTCAATATTTTCCAATTTTTGTACAGTGTCTGAATTTCGATTTTTGAAAATTCGTTGAGCTGGAGGAACATACAACTGTCTCTCAGGGCGTTTTTTTCTCACCCTTACAGAACATTCAGGTTCAGTTTCAGGCATTTTGTTGCTTGTTTGTAGACCTTCACAGCTCTGAGCATTTCCGCTGTAAGATCAAACATATTTTAAATTTCAACACGAACATAGCTTCATTTAAGAATTATAAGTTACTACTTATTTAAAACATAATGTATAATATATTCAAGCAAATATTGGGCGAGATGCTTTTTTGAGTAATAATTTAGTTGCTTGCAATATGTGAAAGCAACTCTTAAGATAATATATGACATATAACCAAAATAGTTTTGTAGAATAGGTAGAAGGATATTTATTTATTTATTTCCTCTCGACAAAAAACATTGTATACAGGGTGACTTCGAAGTTGAGTCATTTATTTTAACAGTGAGTAGATCTGATCAAAAGAAATGTTTTTTTCCTTTACCATTTTTCTGGTAAAATTAAAGTAACAAAGTTATAGCCCTTTGGAAGTTTGAGTACCGCCCTGTCTCAATAATAATATCATGTACTCGTGTTTGGCAACAACGGATATAATCCGCCTTACCGGTTCATCGCATCGGAAACAAAAAAGCGAAAGAATTGGAACGACGTTTTTGCAATTAAGTGTTTTATTCAGTTCAGTTATACATACAGTCAGTATCTGTCGGTTAGCGTGTGAATAGTTTCTGTTGCGTGGCTCAAACGAAATAAAAAATGGCACATGTTTATGCGGATCGTTTCCCAATCGAGTGCAACCAACCCCTCGTGCCTTTGTTAATGTAGTACAACGGGCTCGTGAATCAGGTGACTTAAGACCTCACAGGGGACCTCACGATCAAATACAGGTCCGCACTGAAATACTTGTCGGGAGGATACTTTATAAAACAAGGTAAAAATTTTTTTTTATTTTTACACACATATTCTGGTTTATCTTCCTTCTACAATCATTATCTGAAAATTAATGACTCAACTTCAAAGTCACCCTGTATATACATTATATATAAATATATATATACATTATATATAAATATATATATACATTATATATATATATATATATATATTAGATAGATTCTCAAATCTTGAAAAAAAATATATCTAACAAAAAACAGTCAAATAATAAGAAATAAGAGAGTAAAAAATAAGATTTAACGGCATATATCACAATATTCTTCCACACTATAATAGCTACTTTCAATTAAATAATCTTTTAGGAGATTCTTAAATTTTTAATACTATGGCAATTCTTTATTTGCAAAGGAAGTAGATTAAACATTTTTAGGCCATTAATATTTGGGGTCTTAAACATAATTTGAGGTCTATAGGGTGGTATAAAAACAGATCTCTACATAATGTTCTAGCACTAACACCTGCTATACATGTGATAATTCTTTTCTGTTTCACGAACATATCTTTTGAAATGATCTTCCAAAATGATATGCCATATCTTATGATAGAGTCAACCTGTGCATGATACAAACTGATTAACTTATTTAGTGGTAAAATATCTCTTAAATTTAATAATAGATAATATAACATAATGAATTGAGCCTCTTTATTACATAGTCACAGTGCTGCTTCCATTCCAAACAGGAATCCAAGTACACACCAGGGAATTTCATATATTTCACATTATTGATATTAATATTATTTAATTTGAAACTGAGTTCGTTGCAATTTTTTTGCCTTGTATGAAATCTAATACATTGTGCCTTGTTTAGATTTAAATATAAATTATTATTTGAAAACCAGTTATGCAGCCTAGACAATGAAACATCTATATTATCTTGTAATTGTTTCTCTGAAAAACCTGAAGTTACAATTGAGGTATCATCTGCTAATGAAGTTATGAATGGACCATGTACAACATTAGGTAACTCGTTTACAGGAAGCAAAAATAAAATAGGGCCTAGAACAGTCCCCTGTGGGACACCCATCAAACATTCTTCAATCCTAGAATGAAATTCAACCCTAGTACCAACAGAGTTTAAATAGCATATAGCTACATACTGCTTTCTGTTTGTGAGGGAGGTCCGCAACTATTCTAATTGCTGCTTTTTATGCCATAATATGCTAGCCTATTCAGAAGTGTGTGTTCGACACAGTCAAAACCCCTGCTGAGGACTTCATCATAAAATCTATGGATCTATTAATTATCTTGTTTTCCTCCAGCAGTCTATCCAAAAAAACATATTTCAGTAATTTAGAAGAAGAGGAGCACAAAGTAAGAGGTCTATAATTCGATATGAAATTTCACATTTTTAGGGGCAGGTCCAGAAGGGGCCATGAGTATCCAGACCCCTTTCCAAGTAGGCATCTAAGTTTAATAAATCTCAAACTTGTTTTTAAATTGGCAGATGACTCCACCTTGCTCTTCAATTTTCCTTTGATGCTACCCCCACACAATCCTGAGTGGGAAATTTCAAAATATGGACCCCTCAAAACATATTTTCTAAACTCACCCCAGGCCTTGTTTGATTTATTTCACAGATTTATACCAAGCAAATAGGTAAATTTTAAATATAATGCAGATGAAGCTGTATGAAATCTTGGGGAAATTGGATCAAATATGGTGAAGCTATGCGATTTCAAAATTGACAGTGCAGTACCCAATTGATGGAAAAAGTTTGTTTAATGTTTACTTTCTTGCACCTCATATGTATTTATTATGGCTCATTTGAAATTGCTATTCCACTATCACATACTGTTGAACACAGTTGCCTAAAACTACCCAATCAAATCCTGTAGGACAACTGGCAACTAACAGGCTGACTACTAGCATCTTCTGACTGAGTACTGGCAAAATAGCATCTTGTTGATTAATATTTACCATGAAATTACATAATGTCTATGAGCAATGTGTTTGTTGTTGGCATAACATAATATAACCACATCAAAAGACATTGGCTTAGTTATTTTGAACACAAAATATTATAATTACACTTTAGATTTCATTTAAGGGATGAACTATCAATATACTGTCACATTCACCCTAACCTTCATATTCTAGCATATTGTAAACAAGTTCCTCAACATTTTCTACTTTTCTTTTACATAGGTTTACTGGGAAACAGCGGTTACGGTAATTATCCCATAAACTGTTTAACGAAAATAAATGATAAAAACTTACGAGATATATTCCTTAAAGCACACACCAACACAAAGCAACTTTCTGGATCCCAAGGTAAAGGTGGCAAGGTCGAACAATTCTGCCTGATACTGAATCGCCTTCAAGTAGTTTGGTCCCAATGCAGGAAAGATAACAACAACGCTAAAAGTAAATGCCAATGAAAGTAAAATCAACGGTTTTACATAACGTATTAAGTCACACTGCTTTCTCTTTCACTTGCAACGAATTCCTTTTCCGCGATTCTTTAGACAGCTTATCGTTGTAAAAATATGACGCACAGTAATTGTTTGAGCTCAAATATGATCCTTACCACGATTTGTTTTTGTTTTCCAGCACAACCCGAAAATCTTCCAACACAGAGCAAATAAAATCACGCTCATAAAAAATCCGATTAAACTTAAGAGATAGTTCCCCTAAAATCTTATCAATATCCCTGATGCTCATAGCATATTGTACGTGTCGTCGGGGCCACGCGCAATGGATCTCGATCACATCTTGCAGTTGAAAAACTACAAAATTAGTTTACTCTTCGGAAACCTTGAGTGAACATTACTTGCAATAATCGACATCGCCACAAAGACATGTTGAAAAATGCAAAATGCTAAGTCCCGATACTAGTATGAATTACAATTATCAAGCAAAGAAAATCTTCCGAGTGTTGAAAAAGGAGGAAGGTCTTTAAATAGTTTTATTGATCCATTGGGATATAGCGTGGCTCTTTTCCTGGGAAATCTAAAAATAAACATGGTGGCATTGACACGTAATGAATGAGGAATTTACAATTTACTTCGATTTTGTTCCATGGCATATACAAACACATTTGTTAGTATCGCAATCGTTGATTACACGAAAATGTATCCCTGTTAGCCATCTTCATCCCAACAATCTGAATTAAATTACTGTTGTAGTCGTGTCGTTCAAAATGAACGACTCTTCTGATTATGCGGCCATTGAACGACTCTTTTGTTACGAATGACTCGTTCAATTGAGCCAACCATGTCTGCAGCGTGAACTGCGAGCTGGCAACAGTGTTGACAGTGACAGAGCGACAATCGACAGTGTCAGTTGTCATTCTCAATGGAGACAAGTTTGAATGAAATTTGAATCTTTGAATGGTTTCCTAATTAAAAAATGTAAGTGAAATATTTATTCAGTTTTACTAACGGTTTATAAATTAATAAAAAGTAAGTAAGTGAAATCTTTTACTTAACAGTGACATGAACAAGCTTTTCCATGTCCATGTCATAGAGTAATTTATAATAAAATGTTAGATATGACCTTTAAAGAACTTATTCTCTTTAGCTGCTGTATTGATATTTAGTAAAGAAAAAAATAGACAAAAAAAATTAATGAACAAAAATATAACGAATATTGAAAATATACCTACAACATAACATATTTACAAAAAGAAACTGTAATTAGGAACCATATTTCATTAAACTTGAATATAAAGTCATAAAAAACAAAATAAAACATATATTAAACAGAAACTTAATCACAGCCTGAATGCTTGCAATAAAATAAACTATCAAACAGATAAAAAAAACAAAAAATAAATATACCAAACATAAAAACTTATTCACAGAAAGTAATGAAATGAAACTAAAAATATAACTTTTTCACAAAAAATAATTTACATATTTCAATAAACAAGAATTAAAAAAATATTAAAAAAAACTTAATCACATCTTTGGTATGCATTTGAAGTATAACAATAATCATCACAAATTGGAATTCAAAAAAAGTAACATGGACACTTTTTGTCCTTGAAGACTGATCCTTTTTTCTGTGAGAGTTTGACCAGTTTTAGAAAATATCCTTTCACTGGGGACTGAAGTAACTACTATACTTAACCTCTTTTTCATAAGCACATATACGTAGTCATGCCATAAGTTCTGTCCCTCGTTTTCAAACAAGTGTAGACCTGTTAATACTTGTCCGATTGTTTACATTGTGGTGTCAGTTGATTAAGCGCTTTTCGGGTAATTACATATACCTCAGTTTGTATTGATCTCTCGAAGCATAACGATGGAGTGGGGCAAGGCAGAGAACCGTATTGCAGTGATAGCTTTACATAAGTGTAATCACAGTGCTAGTCAGATTTTTGAACTCTTACGCGGCCTTCAAATATCGCGTAAATTTGTGTCTAGGACCATTCAGCGGTACAATGAGACGTCCTCTGTTGATGACAGGCCAAGAAGCGGAAGACCTCGTCAAGTAAGGACTCCAGCAGCCATCAAAGCCGTAAAAGCCAGGATTCAAAGGAATCCACTCCGGAAGCAGAAGATCCTATCCAGGGAAATGAAGATTCCTGTCCGGACGATGTCGCGCATCATTAAACAAGACCTAGGGCTAGGGGCTTACCGGAGACGTACGGGCCAGCGACTTACGGCCACCTTGCGACACATCAGGGCGACAAGATCCAAGAAGCTCTTGGAGAGGTACGCAGCTGGGGGATTCCGAAAGATTTTGTTCACGGATGAGAAAATCTTCACCATAGAAGAAAAATTCAACCGACAAAATGACAAAGTGTATGCAAGGAGTTCACAGGAAGCTTCGGAGATCATTCCGAGAGTTGAGAGAGGCCACCACCCTGCGTCAGTCATGGTTTGGTGGGGGGTGTCCTACGAAGGGGTCACTCAGCTCCATTTCTGTAAACAGGGCGTGAAAACAAAAGCGGCAAACTATCAGAGCGACATACTGGATCCTATCGTCAAGCCTTTAAGTGGTACATTGTTTGCCAACCAACACTGGGTCTACCAGCAGGATTCCGCCCCCGCTCACAAGGCTAAGAGTACGCAGCGCTGGCTGGAAAGCAATGTGCCAGAGTTCATTGCTGCGGAAGAGTGGCCCTCAGGGAGTCCGGACCTCAATCCTTTAGACTACAAGTTGTGGGACCTGCTAGAGCAGTTGGCCTGCTCCAAAGCCCACCGTAATATCGAGTCCCTGAAAGCGGATTTGATCCGATCAGCGGCAGCTATTCCTTTGGAAGCTGTGCGTGCAGTGATAGATGAGTGGCCCGCGAGATTGAAGCAGTGTGTGAAGGCCAAGGGGGGACATTTTGAATAAAACTGTTTGATTATGAATTCTAAAAATGTTGTCGAATAAATAATATCTTTCATATAAATATATCTTATCTTGTTTCATTTTTATCATGAGATTATCATGGGACAGAACTTATGGCACGACTACGTAGTATGGGATATACATGTTTTCTTTGCTCCCCAGCCAGCAAGGACACGTATACTTCACGTGAAAAGAACGTACCTCTTTACGTAGTATTCACGGCCCTATTCGACGTGGAAAGTCCATTGAATTTGTGGACGCCGTGCGAGATAAAATCGACGTTACTTTCTGACGACGATTTCACGTGATCTACACACGTCGTTTTCATGCCTCTTTTCGACGTGGAAAGTCCGTAATTTGTGGGCGAAGTGTGAGATAGAGTCGACGTCACTGTCTGACGACGATTTCACGTGATGATTAACTAGATGAAGGTGGTAAATAACATTTGGATCAAAAATGAGTTCAATATATTTGGCGCAGCCTAGAAGTAGGACTCTGTCCGAAAAACAGGTTGGTCCTACTGTGGACAATAACTGTTATTGTTAACAACCACTTTTCCAGACAGAATATCGCTTATAGCTTTCACCAAAGATACTGAACTCATTTTAACCGAAATGTTGCTTACCACCTTTATCCACTCAACCCTTCAAATGTTATTGTACTAAAGAAGGCCACTGTGGTGGAAGAAACGCTTACAATATACAGCATTTAAACGTATATGTGGTTCGAATTGTAAGGGCAGACAAAATGAAGGATTAATACTATAGTAATTTTGTTTGAAATAACTACTTGAATAATCATAACTTCTTAAAAACATGAGTATTCTAATTTTTTCTCAAAAGTTGTAAGCATTAAAGTTCTAAATATGTCTTGTTAACAACATTTCACCAATTGCTTTAAATACAAACATTTTACGTGAGATTTAAAAATAAATGAATATGTACTGATAAGATTATATATTGACTTATATACATATATAAATAAGAAAATAGATACAACTTTTGCAGATATGTTTTAATACATTTCATTGCATATTAGCTTTCTAATTAAATATGATCTTAGTGATTGAAACATACAGTGAAGATAGGATGTTGCGCAGGTGGACGGAGCTTCGTACCGTCACCCACAGAGTTGTCGGCTCGTGGTTACCAGTAGCAGGATTGTCGTAACGTTACTGCAGTGCACGTGTATCGTGGTTAATACTATATAGTGCGATTTGTTGGTGGGTTTGTGACTTGTTGTATTAGTTATACATACTTTATATACCCTGTGATGTTAGTAAAATTGATAAAAATGCGGTGTGCTGGTGTGGGATGAAATTCCGACAACCAATCTAAACGGAATCCTTGCAAGGACATGAAGTTCCACAGTGTTCCTCAAGACCCAAACCTTAGCAAAAAAATGGCTACATCATACAAAAAGAAAAATCATACATTGTATTCATATTCATCGAGACGTAGACAATTAATGCATACGTGTAAACGTCCATCACTGATTGTACTATTTTTGTTTATTTAAAAAAAGATAATCACCCTAACTATTCTTTACATAATAGGCAATTAGTGAGGATTAGTATCTTCATTGATCATTTTCGTTTGCCATGGAACTACACAGTCGCCTAAAAACCAGTCTGCTAATGTATTTCGAAGATCGGCTACTCCTCTGGAATAATTACGCGATTCATCAATGGAAGTCATGTCACGCAAGGATGTCCCCACAACTTCCCGTCTCCAAGACCGCTCGATTACGCTTCCACTTTCAAAACCTCCTTCATCGACATTTCCATGAACGACATAATTATTATTAGATGTCATTCGTAACCAGTTATGTAACGAACAGGTCGCCTTTACGAGTTTATCAGCTTTGTAGGGAGAAAGGGCGATTGGTTTTTCGAATACACGAAAGTGGGATTCTAAAATTATAAAGGCATTTTCAACAAGTCTTCTGGCACGTAACAATTGAAAGTTGAAAATTCTTTCCTTTAATGTAAGAGGTCCATGATGTGAATATGCTTTTAGACGGAGCGCATCATCTGCTACAAAAATCCAATTTGGTGGTAAATTTAACACCTTATCTTCAACTGCTCTTTTAATAGTGGATCGCTAAAATATTCTACCATCTGATGCCCCCACATCTAGATATGTAAAACAGTACTGATCACCTACTACAGCTAAGAATATAATGCTGTATGTCCCTTTATAGTTATGGAAATTAGATCCTGAATGAGGTGGACATCTTACTTAATACAATATACTTGCCGTCTATGGATCCACAGCAGTTTGGAAAATTCCATCCGGTAGAAAATCCTCTCATGATTTTTTTCCATTCTTCTTGTGTATTTGGAACCTAAAATAGCAAAATAAAATTAGAAATATGGTCGTATTCAAGTTCATATTCTATATTAAGTTTCGTTTGTTTCAGAACAGTCAGGAATCCACACAAGAAAAAAATCATACCACAAATGTAACACGAGACCATTGATGAGCAGGAACCATTGAATCGTCTACCCACTACTCCTACCTTACCAAAAGCGACATGTCAAAAACTGATCACACTTATACCTCCAAAAAGGGCTAAACTTGAGAAACCAAAAGGAGAAGGCGGTAGTGAGAAAGCCATACGAGATTTACGAGAAATTAGTCAACAACTGAACACGCCTCATGAAGATAATGAATTTGACTGTTTTGGAAAAACCATAGCATATCAACTTAAGAAGCTTCCAGAAAACATGGTCCTCGAATCAATGGCCTACATTCAATCATGTATGGTCCAGCAACGCTTAAAAGGAAAAAATAACAATTCATCATCCTCAGTAGTCCTAAACAATGAAGAAAATACATCATATTAATCCCCAGCTGCCTTCAATGAATATTCAAGCCAGTCTGATTCAACTGAACTACGATTCATAGTTATTCTCTCTTTTATGTTGTAATTATTTATTTCTCGTTTCATATAGCATACTTGTTTATATGTGTTTAGGTGTTTGTTGTTCATAAATATAAAATAAATGAAATAGGTATTCAAACGTTTGTTACTCACCTTAATAAAGCCAAAGAAATGCTGTCACAAACATCTGGTAGGAACTTTGATATGGTACATTTTGGAATTCTATATAAATATTGAAGTGTAGCAAAACTATCTCCAGAGCCAAATATCTCAATGTTATTTGAAGCTTCAGTTTGGGCGGTATAGAATCTCTCATTGCAGTAGGTATTCAACTTTTGAATGTACAGCATTACACAATTCAAAAGGATATTAAAGTGTTTCTTTGGCATATGTAAGCGATTCCTATAGCTTTCAGGATCCTCTACTGCAAGTTCCATCAAAAGTTGCACCCAGCATTTGTCTTCTATTGATCTATCTTCTTACCCAAATGCGACCTTTTCTTTGATCCCTTTTTTTTTCTTGACTAAGTTAGAAATCATATCCTCTATCAAATCTTTTGCAATTTTTCTGCAGACTTCACGAAGACACTGAAACTGGCACGTGACTATCTATCAAATGTGTAACATTTTTGCGTGCAAAATCTGCTGGCGAGGCATTTGGCGCCAGCAAAGAAGTGCATGTATAAATTCAGTTAAATTAGCGAGCATAGGCCTATTATCTGCGATTTTGGACCAAAATGCAAAAATGTCTTCAGTATCTGGATATTCTGAAGAATTAGTTAAGAGACGCCACTCGTTATCTATTTGCTGCAGTTCATTTTTATTTATTAAACTAGGCCACTTTGCTGCAATATTGGCAATGCTTATTTTTGATTTTTTCCATACAGATTGTCGATTTAGAAATAATAGCTTCCTTTAAAGGAAATCGCAGCAAAATTTGAGTTACGCCTTCTAAATAAAATGCCAAACAATTGGTTTTTAACGAATGTAACTGCGATCCCAAAATACATTTATTCCAAAAAGGAAGCATATTTTGTAGATTTTTGTAATCCATGTCATAGAGTACTTTATTTCGAAAAGCGTCTGGATTTATAAAACAACCCAACATTGTTTTTACTACTGCTCTATATACAGGCTGTAAAGTTAGTAATGCATCAACGGAAGTCAGGTGATAGAGGGCATCAAGGCCTATCGAATGAACCTCTATATGTGTGGTCCGAAATCTTATAGTTCAGGAGTATTTGCAATTTTGAGAAATTTCCCAAAAAAAAAAAACGGGAAATGAACTTTCAATCGCAACTACAACTAAACCATTTGGTTTAGGGCTGTTTTTTCTGAGATGAGCTAAATGGTTAGTTTTAACAATGGTTATGTCACTTTTTAACAGAGCTTATCAGAAATCAACGCAAAAAATTCTATTACGATTGAAAGTTCATTAGGTAGTAATAGGCAGCAGCGGTAGCCGCAGTAGTAGACTCTTCGGTCTCCTGATCAGTCGCCGTGCGCTGTGCAGGTTCGAGTCCCGTCCTAGGAGAAATTTTTCTCTTGGCTATGGATGTTGTGATTGTCCGTAGGTGGTAGACGGTCTCTGACTGTCGAACGCGGAGGTACCACCCGGCGGATCTCGTAGGCGGAGCCAGAATGTGTGCATGTTGCATGCACACGTGTTCCCTCGCCAGAGTCCGTGTGGCGTTCTCCCTTTCCCATGTATCCCCCTATAGCCCCACGGTACCCAATGGGTGCTTAGGCCTTAGTGGTACTTGGAGTATACAAAAAAAATCCCGTTTTTTTTTTCGAAATTTCACAAAATTGCAAATATCTCCTGAACTATAACATTTAGGACCACACATATAGGGGTTCACTCGATAGGTTTAGAGGCCCTCTATCACCTGACTTCCATTGATCCATTACTAACTTTACACCATGTATATTACTGACTTGAGAATTTTCAGATTGCATTTGCTTGTTAAGTTAATATAATCCAAAAACTGCAAATATAATTTCAAACTTGGATTGGCATGAATATCATTTTTGTTGTTAAAACAAGCATCTGTAAAGAATAATATTAGAGCATTATATTGCTCTAATATTCTTTTAACTACACTGAGTACAGATAACCTCTGTGTTTGGCAAGGGTGTTTTGTGTGGTTTAATGTTACAAAAATCCTGAAATGCTTTAAACTGTGAAATTCATTTAGGGCTGTTGCTAAAATAATTATGAATATCCCTAGAAATGGCTTCCACAGAATCTGGAAGTTTGCATTTGACGCACACAAAGCAAAACTAGGACAAATACATTTTGATATAAATATTTCTGGAACTGTTAAAAATCTAGATACTACTGAATTATGGCGCCCCATCATGTTGGAGGAGCCGTTGGCCACAAAACCAATACTATACTATTTTTCAAATATGGGATTTTATTTCCATCAAAAAAATTTATAATTTGTTGGAACAAAACTTCTGCATGGGTGCTTTCCACAGGTAGAAGCGACAAAAAACAATCTGTGATATTGTTGTTAAATATAACTCTTGCTATTAAGCACAAATGCTTTACAGTAGCCTGATCTGTCTAATTGTCAATTAATAGACTAAATTTATTGTTTTTTAACACTTCTACTAACGTCCGAAATGAGTAGACTCCCACTACATTTTCAATTATTTTAGTTATTTTTACCTAAACTGAGATTTGGCAATTTCAGAGTCTGGACATACCTTTCGTAGCATATTTGGAACATGATCCATTACAGCCAGTGGTAAATCATGTTCTACCACAAAAGCTGCTATTAGTTCAGCATTTTTTAATTGCACATTTGTACCTGAAGGTTGCATCTCGTTCAAAGGCCTGTGTTTAAAATTATTGTTGCAAACTTCTTTATATTTGTCTCGTTGAGCAAGATGATTAAGTTGAATTTTTACAGCTTTTATACTAATGCATGCATTACAGCAGTAAAGTGGCTCCCCTAAAAAAATGCCCTTGTTAGGTAAATTAAATGAAAGATAAATCCATTTTTGAAAGATACCTTTTTGCTAGCTCTAAGCCATCGTTTAAATTCTGTCAACTTTTCCCATTGACTAGTATATTTTTGAAAATACTACATATAACATAATCCAGGTAGGGCATGTTTGGTTTACAGGTTGTGCTGACTACTAGCCAACCATTTGGTGACAATTGAAGACCGAGGTGCTCAAAGTGGTAGCAGAAATAACATCTTCTATGTTGGGATGTTCTCACACGCCACTTCTTACCCAAGGATTGGCTATCACCTAGAACCAAAAAAGAAGCCCAATATTAAAAAATCTTTATGGAAATTCCGGAATACATACAACCAATGCACATTACACAACAATAAACAAATCACAAAATACGCCGACGCACATAAAAATGGCAGCCAAATATTTCCCTAAATACCCCCTCTAGGGTCGGGGAATTCCCTGACGAGGAAACCTGGCCATTATTAGTAATTACCGTGAGATGGCGGTAGCAACTTATGTATCCACGCACCGGGTATGATAATGATAAAGCCGTATATTACAGAAGTAAAACTGGATATCGGTAGATGGGTAGATGGCGCTCTAGCAGTAAAAATACCGCTTTAGCGGTAAATCTGGTAACATTGGGCGTCACATGTTTCACATGTCAACAATGACAAACGACGTAATACAACCCACAACCTTGCTAATTTTGACAGGCAAGGGCTAACGGTTAACTGGGGGGAAAAGAGGCGTGCCCTAGGCTTTTTGAATAAAATATGCTATTGAAAAAAACGGAGCGGGACGTGTTTTAGCACCACTGTGACTGACCAGGCCATTTTCGATTGAAGAATCTAGTCAATACGTTAAGTAAAACCACGCCTTATTCCAGCATAGATCTGGAATCAGCTACCTTGATGTTCTATGGTTGGGGCGCCATCTACCCATGATATATGGAAATGTATTACAGCACCCTCGCGTGGAAACCCACTGAACTATGAGTATTTATGTATAATCTGGGTGCTTCCCTTCACTAACGGCCAGAATGTCTTAATACAGGGTGTCTCAAGCGCAAAAGGTATGCTTATGGGATAGGCAGAGATATGAATGCGGTACGCTTTTGATGGGGATCATAGTGATTATTTATTTGTCCTTCATTATTTTAAAGAAACGACAGATATTTATCTCTGTTTTATTTATTTTCTTAAAATTGATAATCGTTCGTAAAATGTATTTGTATATCAGAGAAAGTTCACATATTCAAAAATAAAGCTTCTGGTGGAGATATAGACAAAAAGATTTTTATCTATACCTACCTATTCAATTTAAGATTAAACTGATCTTCTACTGAAGCTGAGAGTTTGAGACTCCTTTTTCCTATCATCATGTAGTTATTTGGTATTATTTTAAATAGAGTCTGGAAAACATAAAAACCATTTGAGCAAATTTTATTTTTTCCAAATACCTCAGTAAGTCATGAAAGTTTCTCAACGCCATGTTAGTACGCCCCAAAGACCGCAACTTTTTCCTACTTTAACCTAAGCTGTATCTGCCATGGGTATTGAGATCTGAATGCATAAAATCCTTATCGTGGACAATCTGTATAGTGATTGAAGAGGGTTATAGATTTCAGTAGAGATACAGATGTATCTTGCGAGTTTTCAATAACAGAGGCCCAAAAGATAAAAAGGTGGTGTGCTTGGAGTCCCACTATATTGTTCCATGTACATTTGCATGCTGAACATCAGTCTGAAATTGGCGGTCGATGGACAAACAAGAGAGTAATTTATACATTAAGATCACATTTTTTGGCGTATGTACATCTCTTCATGGGTGTCCGAGAAAAGCACATCCACTATTCCAATTCTGATGACTTAATTACATTCATACTTGTCCATCTTCCCCCAATTTTGACTTCGAATTAGTGTTCAGAGGGAAAAATGCATGGAAAAAATATAGTGGGATTTTCTTGTGCACCTGTCGATCGTTTTTAGGCGTTTTCACTAAAATGTATCCATCTCCCCCAATTTTTAGTTGAGATACGTGTTCAGCATGTAGAATTACGTTAAAAACGGCATCTTAATCATTTGTTTCACGAACATCTGTGGGATTAACAGCAACAGTGATGCTGTTCATCGCTACTTGCAGTCCAATCCTCCCGCCATGCTATTTTTGGCGGAGACAAAAATCTCAGAGTCTGCACCGATTGACCATGTTAGCTTCCCAAATTACTTGAGAAAGAACGGGGGAGTTGTGGCCTTTGCCCGCAGCAGTCTTTCCTGCTCCAGAGATGTTTCTCTGGAATCAGACCGGAAGGACATTCTGTGGCTTCGCCTAAACTACAAAACATCCCCCAAATTGATCTGCTGCCTTTATCGCTCTCCCTCGGACCATAACTGGGATGACTTACTTGAATACCTCGCCGTCGAGTTCGACTTGCTGAACATCAATCACCCCGCTTCAGAGCTAGTTCTCCTCGGTGATTTCAATGCCCATAATGAGTGCTTGCCAAGATCTTTGCTGCCAGCTCACCACCATGAACGTCCCTCCCAACGCCCAAGTGCCATCAATTCAAACACTATGCGGGAGGTAACATTCAGGCATAAGACCGTACGACGAGTGCTCTTCTTGCTCGTCGTCAACAAAGCTTCTGGTCCGGACTAACAGCATTTATGATTTCTTTCATAACTTCCAGGCAACCAGTTATACAACCTTCTGCTTTAGGTTACATTCCGTTTGTTTTCTCCTATCTCGATCTGATTCGTTCATTTACGACTAGTTCGCTTGTGTCATCCGGATCAGTCGTTCCAACTGAATGAGTGAACAATTTTTACAAGGAATGATGAACTAGTTCAATCATAATAATCTTTCGCTTGAACTAGTTCATTCCAGAACTACACCGTATGAATTGCAAGTGGTCTATGGGCAAACTTGCCAGAGGGTCAGAGATCAAATTAGCTGGCATAACCTTAGCTGCAAAGGAATTGCCCGCAGGTATGTTGCAGGCAAAGATACTAGGATCTGCACGGATAGCGGACAGGCAATGCTGGCTCTCAAATGCTTACTACGAGACAGTACCAGAATGCCATTTGGTACGTGCAAGAACATCATTGTTGCCTGGGTGAAGGGTCATTTTCAATCCAAAGGTAATATACAGCACTTAAAAACTACGGTTTCTCAGCGGCATTGCTCTATGTCAGCGATGATATTTTAAGAGCATCCGACTAAGGTCATTTTTCAGCATTAGTAATGCTGGATTTTAGTAGAGTCTTTGATACTGATGCAGGCAACCTTGTTGCTGGAAGAGGACCAACTCCTGATCCACCATGAACTATGAACTCTCACTGAGCTTCAAGGCATACCTTAAATACATAACTCAACGTATCTTTCTGGATAATAAATACTCTAATAGTCTGCTTCTGAAGTCTGGTGTACCACAAGGCTCTGTTTTGGGTCCATTAATGTGTGTCTTGTACATATAAAACTTGAACACAAAAGTACAACGGTGTCAGATTCATTTTATCACCAAACAATGCACCACAAAAACTGAAAAGAAAAACCTGACAATTTTATAATTGGTTGTTCATGTCAAGATACATCGATATGTAGAAAATTCTGGAATTATAATAACCATACGTAGGTGTTTAGCTTTTTTGTCACTCAGTGTAGAAGAACTTTACACTCGCTGTGCCTTTTTCATAGAATTATTTTGCTGGAGTTTCCCTGCTTATTTGACTTATGTACATAATATACACATAAGATCCAGAGGTCTGTTGACACCTCATATATTCCGCACTGAACTCGACCGGCATTCTTTTAGTTTCCAAATATGCAAAATGTATAGCTGTCTGCCGTCATATTATAAAAAAATATAAGCTTTCTAGGTTTGAATCTGAAGCCAAAAACAATATTTTTTTCTTCTACTCTGTTAAGGTTCTTAGTGGTATAGTGTTTTGTTTATATTTTTATCTGATAAGACATTATTATTTTTACTATACTAAGTGACATATAAATCCGAACACCCAGTTTAAATGGTTTTATTTTAATAAAATTTTGTATAAGTACTTAATGAAGCATAATAAGTAAATGATAAAAATTTCAAAATGATTGCACTGCTTTAAAGCCCTTTGACCTTTAATAATGTGTGGATGCACCCTGATGTGCTACGCATCCTCCAACGCGCCTAGGCATGCTTCTGATCAGATGGTCAATGTCCTCCTGTGGTATCTCATTCCAGGCAACCACCAACTCCTCTCGAAGTGCTTCTAGAGTCTGAGGAGGACGTTGCAAATTGAGCAATCTCCTACCCATCATATCCCACACGTGCTCAATTGGGGATAAGTCGGGAGATCTTGGTGGCCATGGTAACAATGTGACATCATTATGTTGAAAGAAGTCTATTGTGACTCTTGCAACATGTGGTCGGGCATTATCTTGTTGGAAAGTTGGATCTGCCAGGGTGTCAAGATGGGGTAAAAGATGGGGTTCTAGAACTTCAACCATTCATTTGCAATGGACCTGGTAGTGGAGAAACGGTCCCTTAAGGCCAATAATCTTAGGCGACGATCTTCACGGTCTGTTGTTCTACGGCGGCGTCCAGTGCCCCTTGCTCTTTGCGTACGGCCTTCTCGAAGCCATGCCTGACAACACCTAACCACAGTGTCTACACTTCTTTGCACTCTAACTGCAATTGCCCGAAAAGAAAGTCCAGCTTCCCGAAGTCCCACTATACGGCCCCTATCAAACTCACTAAGTTGACGAAATCGTACAGGTCTCCGTACTCTAGGCATCGTAACCGATCGTAAAGGATGTCAAGAACCAAAATCCGCCAACGTTGATTCTTTACTGCGGCTGAAATATTCATTTTTAGAGCGTTAGTGAATTAAAAAAAAGCAGTATAAAAACCGGAATATCCAACTGATAAGCCTGAAAATTTTTTCACTTGTTATTTACAGTAAGATAAATACATTCACCAACTTTTATTAAAATAAAACCATTTAAACTGGGTGTTCGGATTTATGTCACTTAGTATATTATTATTATATTATACATAGCTAATAGATTGGTAATAAGGGCTGCTGACACCAAAATTCTAGGCGCAGAGCCCCTCTGCATTTCATCCATCTTCAAGAACATGTGGGATGATACGTCGGGCTGCTCATTCGCTAAATAATTCCTCAGCTATCGTAGTGAGAAGGTATCAAAACACTACCTGATAACAACTCCGGTTTGCCACAAGCTTTGCGACTGCACACTGTCAGCTGAGGAAACATCGTTATGTAGAGGTTGCGAACAGGAAGATGAGACAGTCAACCACTTGGTTTGCGACTCAGCTGTCCTAACAATCCAACAATACATTGAAGAACAGAGGCCTTCTATGGGCAGTGTAAGGGAAGCTGAGCATTTTATTTCTCAAGCCTGCCGGCGCGAAAGTATTCTAATCATTTGTATCATTTCCGTCGGTCTGTTTGTGTGCCGGCCTGTTCGCTAATCTTTGGACCGCCTATAACTTGGAAAGAACTGCTCGGATTTGGATGAAATATTCATAAAAACATTTTTGTGGGGGTTGAATACCAGAAGTTGGGGGTTGTGGGGGAGGGTGTATCTCATATTTCTGGCGGCAGTATCTTTATACGCATCCAACCACAGTAACTTTGTACATATTTATATATTTCACCATCATATACAGGGTGTTCCTTAATGATATGCGAATATTTAAGGATGTGGATCTACATGTAAAATTAACCTTACCTTGCTTTATATAATTATATTGAATAACAGAGTCTTGTCAGATGTCAAAAGCCAGTGACATATTCCAGAGTAACTAGATATATATTGCTAAATTGCATTCTTCAATTAGGTATTACATTAATTTTCTCGGACAATAGAACAATTTTTTTACTCAAAAATGGCGCATCGAAAGAAAACAATTCAAGAGAGATCATTTGTTGTAAATTGAACGGGGAATTCAAAAATAATTTTTATTTAGCAAAACACCATTGCCGTACCATTTTTTTCTTGAATAATATCGAAGTCATTACCCGTACGCACGTCACTGTTAAAGCTAAAAATTATTTTTGCATTGTAAAATATGCAACTTTGTTAACTTTCATTACGTACTAAATATCAGTGAAATATCTGAAGCGGTTCTGAAAATATTAAATAATTTCCATTTTTTTCCTAAAACATCAACACCCCGAGTTTTTGTAAAGAAACATTTTTGGACCATATTTTATAAAGCAGTCTAATGTTAATTTTTCATGTAGATTCACACCCTTAAATATTCGCATATCATTGAGGAACATCCTGTATTTCCCAGTACATTTGCCATTAAAACTTTGAGAAATATTTATAGACGCATCACCGGCCAACTTGGTCAAACATCTTTTGCCCAAGCTTATTTTAAGCACCATGAAATATCCTGAATTCAAACTAAAATACCATAGATTTGGATGAAAAAAAAGTTAAATCAGTTTGTACAATTTCACCTTACAAATTATGTTACCTAATTAAATAAAACATAAACAATTGTGGGTTGCCAGCATCAAGGTAAACATGAAGTTTTATCCTTATTTTATTATGTTTCTATTCATAACATCCGTAGATTGATTCACTAACTAGTGCAATTTGTTTAATTGCGATTAAAATTAAAATTAAATTATTTATATTAATACTTTCAAAATGGGAGTCTAGGATGGCTTTCAATACCCGACATAGCTCCCACTGCCCTATCAGCTTTTAAAAAATATTTTCACACCATTTTACATACATATTATTCTTTTTATTTCAGATGCCACGTTAAACAACTCGGAAACGGAAGCTTCTTGAACCGCTGATACATCAGAAAATGCAATCAATATCCTCTGAGCAAGAGACATTTCGGTGTACAAAGTATCTCATACAAACTGGCATACCTTACAGCACCTTAAAGAAGAGATTTAATTTATCGTAAGCTAACGACGATCGGTACAAAAAATCCTAAGTTGGGAAGATATCCAGTAATGTGAAATAAATTTTATGGCATGACGAGAGACCAAGCCAGTCAAACTGCGGAAAAGATTGGCTGTCTGGATTTTTACAGCGTCATCCTGAGTTGAGTATTAGAAAGGCCGAAGCTATTAGTATCAACAAAAGTCTCGGACTTAAAATAACAGAAGTAAAGCTTTTTTTGATAATTTGGAAAAATTGATGACGCAACACCACTTCGATCCTACGATGATTTACCATGTAGACGAGACGGGTATAAAGATCGTCCAAGCGACTGAAAAAATTATAGCTCCCAAAGGGCAAAAACGCGTTGGATCTGTGACGTCATGGGAAAAAAGTAAGAATGTAACAATTATGTGTGCTATGAGTGCTTCAGGGTGTTTCATTCCACCGCTTTTCATATTTCCGCGGAAACGTCACTCACCACAGCTGGAAAAAGATGGACCACACGGAGCTGCTTACACATGTAGTTATAATTGCTGGACCGATGAAATTATATTTATTTTATTGCTACGTCATTTTATTAAATACACCAAACCTACTGCCGATACTCCCGTTTTGCTTATATTACACAACCACAACAGTCATGCTACTCTCGAAGCTTGGGATTTGGCAAAAGAGAACCATGTTGCAATGCTTAGCATTCCGCCACATTCTACAACCTCTTGACGTTGCGTTTTATTATCCGCTTAAAAGAGCTTACAACAAAGAAAGCAGGTTATATGTAATCAAGAAATTTGATAAAAATCACACCATACGATATTGCAGGCTTTTAAATAAAGCATAACACTAGGGTAGCTTCCATAGAAAAAGGAGTATCAGGCTTTCAAGCAACGGAAATATATCCCATGAATCCTGAAATACTTTGGAATGATGACTTCATCTACGTCAAAGCAGACAGTTAATAAACAACCGAATGCTAGCCCTGCCATGAGTCCATCTATTCTTTGTGATGCAGAAATTCAACCAGAAGTAGTTCAGGAGGACATAACATGTCCAACACCAACACGAGCTGCTATTCGGGAGGAACATACCGTCAGATCTACCGCAACTCCGTCTAAATCATATTTTAATGAGACCGATACTAATGACGATGAAACAGTAATTGACATTGTTGATATTCTAAAAATTGTGAGCCCACTGCCACAACAACTCACAGCAAATAAAGAAAAGAAACAAGATTGAAGAACAAACAACATTTTTAAATCTTAATAAGCACACCAATGAAAGCAGTGTTTGAAGAAAAGAAGAGAAAAAGCCCTGAAAAAGAGAAAAAGACTAAAAAAAATAAAGAAGACTATAATAAAGAAAATTGTGCCGAAGGTAAATGTAACAAAGCGAAACTTACCACAGATAGAGAGGTTAAAAGCAAGAAGACCACAACCAGAAACAAAAGGGCCAAAAGGCTAAAAAATATTTGTTTAATAGTGATGATGAAGATTCATCTAATGATCAAATTGACGAACGCACAATTTGCGACGACGAGTCAGAATTCTCAGAAGAGGAAACTTTATGTGCAATTGGTTTAGGCACGGGACAAGTGGGGAGATGTGGTACCGATGCAGAAGTTGCGGAAACTGGGCCCATGAAGAATGCTCTGGAAGTGATAGTCCAGCTTCTTATATTTGTACATTTTGTTTGGATTCGTAAAATCTTGGTTCTTCTTTAATAATTGTTTTTTTTATTTTTCTTGTTTTTTGTTTAAAAATTATTTTTTTTTCATTTATGTTACAATGACAAGATCACACTTAAAGTATGTTTAGCTTAACTTTTGCGCAATACTAAATATTATGGCTCCCAGTTCCCATATGAGCTTGAAATGGGCTCCCCATTACCTTCACGTGTCGGTTAATGGAAGCGATTGACTTTTTTTGTAGAATCGGTATTGTACCTTAATACATGACTGTAATTACTCCTAATGATGATAAAAACATACCTGTATGATTATTCTAACAGTTCCTTACTAAAAATTATAAGAAAGTTAATAAATGTGTTTTTATGAAAGTTTTCACTTAGTAGGCTCCCATTACCCTATGCTCCTCTACCCCTATAAAATTATCTTTTTGAGCTTTTCCCCATACATTTGGGGAACGACGTTGCGTGTGAAGTGCACAGTCAACCTAATTGACGCCATTTTTTAGTCTGGGTGGCTGACGATCCAACTTTGAGCGATCCCTGGAAAGGACGTACACGGGGCCCAGTGCTGTTATCTTGGCCCATCGCCTTTCTTCCTATACAGACTTCAGAATACATCCTCCGAGTAACAGGAGTGCTTAAAGCTAGAAATTGATTCATAGCATGTTGAGTAAGCTTACTTTCAATATTTTTTTTGAATATTCTTGGAATGTAAAAAAATTGGAAAGTTTAACTTCTAATGCTGTGACAAAGCATATTATTTAAATTATAAAGCAATATATATTCTTAGTCCATCCTTTTGTATTATATACTCTGCGGAGATCTTGGATAGTGACAAAAATTGCAAAATCCAGGCATACGCTGATGATACACAACTTTTCAAACTGCTGATGCTGTTGCTGCTGAATCACATATGAATCTGGAGCTAACCTCATTATGTAACCTATCGCGAGAAAATAATTCAACTTTCAATTCACATTTTTCTTTAATTGTCAATGTTTTGTGCTTTCGCTTCTGAGTTTGTGATGACATTACTAGGTACTATACTTATTACACAATGAATAAATAATAAACAATGAACGCACGCTAGGCCGTACCGCTATCACCAGTAGTCAAATTCAAACTAAGTAAAACAATGCTTACACGTCGAGCACGATAGCGGTGGCGCGTACAAGTTGTAACCTGTTCAAACCTGCGTGATCTACATTAGGGAAGATTGTCAAATACGTATGTATGTAATACATATTCAAAGACATGTCGGATTACAGGGGGCGCCGGATTAGACAGAGGCCGGATTATCGGGGGTCCACTGTATACCAGATTGTAGAGTCCCCAACCAGTAATAATCGCCAGCTTTCTCGCCAGGAAGTCGCTGCTAGTCCAGCTCACCGGCAGAGATGGGCCTGGCACTCTGAATTCCTGCATGTAGAGTGCTGTCATCAGCAAAGCTGTAGGTCGGATTGATTGTACGGGACAGGAGGTCGTTGATTTGTAATAGAAGCAATGTTAGAACCGTAATGGCAGTTTGCATAAGACGGCAGCATGCCACAGCTGATCAGAAGCTTTCAATATATCAAGGACAACAATATGAGTCCTATCATGAGACTGGATGAATTTACTCCACAGTTGTGTGACGAAAGCTAGGAGGTCCCGTCGCTGGTGTCGGAAACCATACTGTCTGACGCTTATCAAGCCGTGATGAGAGATAGCTATTTATGCACTTTTTCATTACCTTGCTAGTATCAGAAAGCAGAGCTGTATGTCTGTAGTTGTAAGTGTCGATCTTATATTCTTTTTTGGGACAAGCTGTAATCTTGAGGACATCCTTCAAGCAGTGAAAATAAAAGTCAAAAACAAACTATTTTTACGAAATCTGCTCAATGCATAGTGTATCCCATGTTTTTCGCAATGATTGCTGTTCAACTTTTATGAATAGATCATGCATCACTAAACGGTTAGTGAAAAACTAATACTAGATGCGTTATTTGCATGACATGCACAGCGTGCGGCAGAGAGGATGGACGGTTTTAACAAAATCATAAAATAGTTAATTTTCACTCGAAAACAAATTTATTGATGGAATCAGGTTCACAAGGAAATAGCATTTGAGACGGTCAAGTGAGGAAAATCACATCAGGCATGTGGTGGCCGAAATCGTTGATGCAGTGCTGGAGGCGTTCTTGGAAGTTCGCGTAGACTCTCTTCAACTTGGGCGACTTCCACGCGAATTTCGCCCTTTAATTTGTCCAGAGTTCGGGGCTTGTTCGCGTATACTCTAGCCTTGAGGTGTCCCCATAAGAAAAAATCGCATATGGATGAATCTGGGGACCGAGGAGGCCGATGAACATCGCCAAACCTGGAAATAAGGCGACCAGGGAAGAGAGGGCGAATAACGTCCATGGATGCTCGGGCTGTGTGGGCGGTCGCCCCATCCTGCTGGAACTACACACGTCGGATTGGAACACGTCGCCGTCGCAATTCAGGGAGAAAGAAGTTGACGATCATGTCGACGTAGCGCTCTGGTAACGGTAACATCACGACGATTACTGTCTTCGAAGAAGTAAGGGCCAATGATGCAAGTTTGCGATACAGCGCCCCAAACCGTTACTTTTGGGCTGTGCAGCGGTCTTTCGTGTAAATGTTGCGGATTTTCATTAGCCTAATAACGACAATTCTGCTGGTTAACCATGCTGTGTAGGTGAAAGTGGGCTTCGTCACTCATAAACAAAATGAGTATCTCATTTTGATCGATCAGTGCTTCCATCTCACGTGCGAAGTTCATTCGTTGTGCATAATCTCCGGGGTGTAACTGTTGCACAATGGCCAATTTGTAGGGGTGAAAGTGGAGATCCATATGCAAAATTCGCCTTACCGAACAAACAATAAGGTGAAGTGCAGCAGCAGGTTTCCGGGCAGATCGAGTCGGACTGCGAAGAAAGACCTGTCGAACGCGTTCAACATTTTCAGGAGTTCGAACTGTTCGCGGCGCTCCTCTTGGTCTTCTGTTGATCAGTTCACTACGCCTGCGAAGTGATTCAACCCAACGAAGGACGGTGTTTCGAGAGGGAACAGCTCTATTCCGATGAATGTTGAAGTGGCGACGAAACTCACGCTGTACGACGATGACTGACTCATTATTTCATAGGCGAAAACGCGACAACTGGTAAAACGAGTCAAACGGCACCCTCCCCACCTCTCTCGTACACGGAGGCGGAGAGTACTACCCATCCCAAAAACGTTCGTCCTCTCTGCCGCACCCTGTATAAGAAAAAGTGTGATTTAAAAAACATAACAAAAAATTATATTAAGAATTACATGCAGTCTTAATCGAACCTAGAACTCATTAAAATAAAGCAGATACGCCACGACATGAGATCAACAAACCAGTATTACTTCTTATGCCAAAACTGGCGAGAAAGTCCTGTAATCGCGAAAACTTTTTATAACCGCCTATAACTTGAGAAGTATTGCTGGGATTTTGATCAAATTTTCAAAATCGGTGCTAGGGGCAAAAACACGAAGAAAAATAAAAATCGCATAAACTTCGTTTTTTGACGGTTCCGAAATTCGGAAACTTTTTTGTAGGGCTTGAAACTTTGGGGTTGTAGGGTTGTAAATGTAACGTCTTTAGTATTAGTCAAAGACGTTCTATCACTAAAAATAGGTAACAACGGAAAAATTAAATGAAAAAAGACATAAAAGATGTATATAATAACTGCAATCGTTGGCGGTGCTGCATCGTCGTGGAGGCAAGTGTCGATTGTACAATGGCTAACAAACTGGAGAAATATTTATATATTTTAGCAATATTGGGATATTAGGAGTACGTATCATTTTAGCGTCTGCGATGCTTTTGTAAATGACGACAAATGTTTTTATATCTACACAAATATTTTTTTGAATTTTATGATCCACCCATTTCCCCTAACCTCTTATTTGTGTTACTCCGTATAATGATTATCTCAATATTCCGTCAAGTAGATTGACTTAGTACTTATGACGCATTGATATACAACAGACACGGACTGATAAACCGACATAAATGAGAAACACGGACTTGTGTGATGCAGATAACTTTAAGCAACAGAAAATATGTGAAATCGCAACGTTTCAGAGGTTTCTGTTGATTTTCAGACATTGTTTGGAGGGGATGAAAATTGTAGGTTAGAAGCTGTATGCGGTAAATGGTGGATAGTGAAATACCTTCTATTATTAAGAAGCTACCCTTCGCAGTGATTCTATACAACTGTAAGACATAATAAGTCACTCATATTTTCCCCCATAGCAACAGAAATATGATAGATTTGCTTTATGTACAGGTCGGAGGTACATTGTACCTAAGTGAAGCTTTGAAACTACTGCACTCATCCATTTTCTTTGAAACCACCAACGAAGGCGTATGAGGTATAGAGTCAATCTACTTGACGCCATTTTTTTAACGAAACCAGAGCACCATGACGATCTTCATTGGCCAATTCCTATCGAAGTTGAGCATTAGACCAAAGGCTGTTAAAACGTGCGTTGGGAAGCCAAGACCTACCCCAGGATTTTTTTGGACGAGATCCATTTTCCGGCCCTGGATACTCCTGCTTAAAGATGGGATTCCCTGTTAAGGAAGCGCCCTAAATCTTATCAAATATGAAGAGCGTAGAAGCAGCATCAGCATCTCGTCAAACGTTAAAGTAGCATTTCAGGCCGTCAGAACTTATCTAGCGGACTTTTTACTGATTCAGAACCCTTCCTGATTTGTTGGGGGCGGGTCTGTGGGAACGGACTATATGGATTCACTAAGTATTACCATTAACGTATTCTACCTAATGCTATATTGCCGCGTCCAACAAATTATTCTAGATAAATAAGATACCGTAGGGGCATCTATGAGAATTTGTCAGAG